TTTCTCCACAGAATTTTTTTCCTCCTCATGGAAAACTGCAGGAGTTTCCATAGGGGTTTTTTTGGGTTTTGTTTGATTTTTTTTCCTGCATGGAAAACTGCAGAGTTTTCCATAGGGTTTTTTGGGGTTTTGTTTTTTTTCTGCATGGAAAACTGCAGGAAAATGCAGTGGAAGGTTTGTGACACTTCTGGGCAGAGCAGCAGAGACACAGAGCCCAGGGGATTTTCCCCTTCCTCAATTCCCATCCTGCTGGAATTGGAAGGAGCTCCACATTCCCCCAGCAGAGGGAAAAGCCACCACAGACACTCTGGACGTGCACAGGCAGCCCCAAACCTCCTCCAGTTCCAGATCCACGCTTGGAACTCCACCTTGGCTCTGGTTATTTTCCTCCTCATGGAAAACTGCAGTTTTCCATAGGGTTTTTTTGGGTTTTGGTTTTTTTTCTGCATGGAAAACTGCAGGAAAATGCAGTGGAAGGTTTGTGACACTTCTGGGCAGAGCAGCAGAGACACAGAGCCCAGGGGATTTTCCCCTTCCTCAATTCCCATCCTGCTGGAATTGGAAGGAGCTCCACATTCCCCCAGCAGAGGGAAAAGCCACCACAGACACTCTGGACGTGCACAGGCAGCCCCAAACCTCCTCCAGTTCCAGATCCACGCTTGGAACTCCACCTTGGCTCTGGTTAAACGGGGATCAGGCTTTGTGTGGCTCAAACTGAGCTCCTCTTGCACCCAGATTTGCCAAAATTCCTTCTGGGCACGCTTCACAAACACCACCAGGCTGCAGCCAGCAATGCCCACCCTCTCCCAGGCACTGCAGGGCTCCCAGGACACCCCAAAGCTCCAGGGAGACCCTGGAATGTCCCTCTCAAAGGGCTCCCTGCCCCTCTGAGCTCCCCCAGCCCCAGGACTCACCAGCTCAGCGTATTTCTTGCACAGAGCTGCCAGTTTTTCCTCTGACGTGCTCAGGGTGTTCAGGGTCTGCATCAGCAAAGTGATTTCCTTGCCTGGAAGGAGACATGGAATGGGAATAATGCAATAAATGGGATAAAAATGGCTTTACACGGAGTTCTGGCTTGGAAAGGTGGAATAATCAGGGGCTGAGCAGGTCCCCAGTGTGCTCCCAGGATTTCCCCACGGTGGGAGAACTGCAGCAGCTGGATTTTGGAGGGGAAAACCATCCCTGGGCTGGCTGGAGCCAGCTGTGCCCAGCAGAAGAGAAACCCACGGAATTCAGAGGCTGCACTGGGTGCAGAACACAACAGAAGGATGTTCCCAAACACATCCCAGGCTGTGACTTCCCCCGGGGTGATTAGTGTGGGATAAAATCCATTTATCCATGCACTGATATCCTGGGGCACAGCTGGAGCAGGGAATCCTTCCCCTAAACCCTTGGGGAGCTGGGAATCCTTTACCTAAACCCTTGGGGAGCTGGGAATCCTTCCCCTAAACCCTTGGGGAGCTGGGAATCCTTTATCTAAACCCTTGGGAAGCTGAGAATCCTTCCCCTAAACCCCTGGGGAGTTGGGAATCCCTCACCTAAACCCTTGGCTTTCTTCTTCTCCTGGGCTTTCCTCTGGTCCCTGTCTGCAGCCTCCTCCCCGGGCCGGAACTCCTCGCTCCCCTTGGAGCTCTCCTTCTCGCCGTTGATCTCGGGCCCTCCCGGCTCCTGCTCCCCGTTCCTGGGGGATTCACTGAGGGCCTTGTCGGGCTCCTCGGGGGCATCCCCGTGCCCCCCATCCTCCCCTGGGTTCTCCTGGCTGGCATCCACACAGTAGGTGCTCAGGATGTCCTCCAGCTGCCGGCTCAGCTCCTCAGAAACGTCGCGGGAGGATTTGGGATCCTCCTGAGTCAGGGGAGCTGGGGGGAAAGGGAACACAAAAAGGAATTGATGAAAGGAGGGTCTCCTCAAGCCAGGCTTTACAAGCTCTTGGAGGTTTACTTCACACCCAAGGTAGCTCAGCTGCCTCAGAAGGCATCAAATCAGCAGGATGGCTGCTGTGGTAGTGCTGGAAACAGAAACGTTTTAATAAGAGGGAAAACAACAAAACTCTTTACAGAGAAAAGCTGAGCCAGGTGCAAGAGGTTCTTGCTGCTGGTAAAACACCTCACGAAAGCAATTAGTTTCTTTGCTCTCTTCTTTTTCTAGTAAATTGCTTAGGCAAGACTTTTTAGCTCCTCTCCAATTGGCTATCCTTAAGTTTGGGGTGAAGCCCCCCAGGTCCTATGAGATATCTTTTTACCTAATTAAAGACAGAAACTTCTGAGCTTATTTCCTTTTTAAGGGGACAAAAGACAGTTTAGTCACTCCATCAAGAGGGGGCACATTCCTATAAATGGAGGCTTTCCCCCTCCTCTCAGCCTGCAGGGAATGGGAGGGTTTCCCTGCTTTGTTCCATTGTCAGGGCTTTCCCAACATTCTCCTGTGACAGCAGAGCATGACCAAGCCCCTGACATCTGTCAAGAGGGAGAATTCCCCCCTCTCTCCTCTTTTTTTTTTAAGGAAAGCAGGTTGTGTGTGAGCTTTATCCTCCCAGAGGAACTGGCAGCTCCAGGGCTGGGTTTTTTACCATAAAAATGGATTTGAAACCCGGGTAAGAGCAGCTGGGATCACACAGGGATGGAGCAGGCAGAACATCCTGGCAGCAGTCAGGAGAGGGGAACTCCTCCAGGACTGCACACACACAGAAAGAAGGAAAAAACCAGGATTTTCTGCCCTGGAAAACCAGGATTTTCTGACCAGGATTCTCTGCCTGGAATGCCAGGATTTTCTGCCCTGGAAACCAATGATTTTTTTCCTGGAAAACCAGGATATTTTGCCCAGGAAATCCAGGATTTTTTGCCCTGGAAAGCCAGGATTTTCCGCCCCTCCAAAGAGCTGCAATAAAGGCAGCTCCTGGCTCTCCCCATGCTCCAAGCTGCCCTCGCACACCCCAGGGGATGCCAGCAGTGCAGAACCCCCCAGCCCCAGGGGTCCCCCACCTTCCGGGGGAGCTGCAGCCTCTGGAGAGTCTCCCTCTTCCAGCCCCATCCCGCTGCTGGCTCTGGGAGGACGTGGAGCTGCCTTGGTCTCCAGTGCCTGGTTCTTCATCCCAGCCTCTGCAGAGACACAAGGGACAGGCTTTGAGGACATCTGCAGGGTTTTAGGAGTCACCAGCCCTGGCTGTTCTCGTGCTGAGGAAAGCATCTCTTGATTCCCAGGATAATTCCTGTTGGAATCTCCCTCTGGAGGAGGCAGCACCTCGCAGCCCACAGACAAGAGGATTTCCCCGCTGGGCACAACCCCCTCGGCCCTCGGTGCCCTTCCCACTCTGGGATCCCAGGGCCGGCCCAGCAATCAGGGCCCGCAGAGCACAGAGCTCAATCGCTGCTGAACTGCGCGGCCCGGGAGAGCCTGAACCCGGCTCCTCCTCCTCCTCATCCCGCGAGGGCTCTGGGTGATCGCAGCCTCCCCTGACGAGGAGCGGGGACAGGAGGCTCCCCGGTGACAGCGGGGCCGTGCCGGGGCTGGCAGGAACCGGCGGGCGGAGCCGGGCCCGTGTCACCGCCCACGTGCGGGGTGTCCGGGCAGCGCCCAGCCGGCACTGCCCGCGCCCCGGGCGCCGCTTTTCCGCCGCTGCACCCCGGGGCCACAACCGGGCCGAGAACCGGGGCACGGGGCCGAGAACCGGCCGGCCCAGCAATCAGGGCCCGCAGAGCACAGAGCTCAATCGCTGCTGAACTGCGCGGCCCGGGAGAGCCTGAACCCGGCTCCTCCTCCTCCTCATCCCGCGAGGGCTCTGGGTGATCGCAGCCTCCCCTGACGAGGAGCGGGGACAGGAGGCTCCCCGGTGACAGCGGGGCCGGGGCTGGAAGGGGACCGGCGGGCGGAGCCGGGCCCGTGTCACCGCCCACGTGCGGGGTGTCCGGGCAGCGCCCAGCCGGCACTGCCCGCGCCCCGGGCGCCGCTTTTCCGCCGCTGCACCCCGGGGCCACAACCGGGCCGAGAACCGGGGCACGGGGCCGAGAACCGGGCGAGAACCGGGGCACGGGGGCGGCCCGGCCCCGCAGCACCCGGGAGCCCCGGCCCGGCCCCCCAACCCCGTTCCGGCCCCGGTGCAGCCTCCCCTCCCCTCCCCTCCCGTTAAAGCGGCCCCGCGCTCCCCCTCCCCGCACCGCCGTGACGTCACGCGCGCACCCCGTGACGTCAGCGCCGGCGGTCTGACGCAGGTGTCGCCTCGTTCCTCAGCCCACGGGCGCGCGGGGCCCGGCGGGGCGCGGGGTGCCGGTGCCCTGGCGGGGCCCTGCGGCGGCGCTCG